AGCCTCACCCTATCTCCACATCGACCAAGGAATTAAACTAAGCTTCCACATTCAAAATAAGTACAACTGAATTATCCTTCTCCAGCTTAATCCTGTCATTTATTTCCAATGCTTTTCTTTAATTAAAAAGAAGCACACAGCTAAAAAATCTAACTCAAACCAAAAAACAGTAATATTGTATTTAGTGCTGATGCAGAAACAGTTGGTTCTTTTTTTTTTTTTTTTTTTTGATGATTTGTCTCAGCTATTGAACTGGAAAGTGTCTTTTAACCTGGACGCACTGGGTCAGCACCTTTCCCTGGCAGTTTCTAACATTCCTTCCTGCTTCCTTCCTACCAAATAACCACAACTATAACACAGTAAAATAACAAGTATGAGGCAGTACAGATGGCAAAGAACAGAGCAATACAACCTGTTCAGCCACTCAAATCAACAGAAGTCACCCGGGACAGAAGGGCTGGGGTCTCGTACAATGACTTGACGTGCTTGCTGTCAGCTCCTTCGCAGTCTCTCAACTCCTCACTGCACCTTGTCATTCTCAAGGCTAAGTTTTCCGGGACAATAAGATCTTAAACATATGTCTGTACCTTGCATGAAATAGATCTTTCCTTTTGCCATCTGCTACTGCAAAAATAAATGCACCAGTACTCAAAAGGAATTATTTTGAACTGTAATAGAAACATTTTTTATACTTCAGTCATCCACACTTTTATATAAATGGAAAACGTGAAACTCTCCAAACGTTGATTTGTCTGGGGAATAAGCGTCTCTAGCCACTCGTCTCAGCCAAGTGTTTTGAGATTCCTGTTGATTCCAGCTGGCTGCACCAGGACTGACCTCGGCCTCTCGCAGCCACAAGACAACTCATCACTTTGAGCAGAGGTCGGCACCATGTTTACAAGAGAACATCTGTAGATGACATCACGATGCCAATACTTTGTATATACAACTACATGTGCACCTACTTTCAGGTTTAGATTTTAAGCCACTGCCGTAAATACTCCTTTACCCACTGTTACAAATCTTCTCCAAAACAAGGGGAAATAGAAGAATCTGAGAAATGCAGGAAAAAATACACGAGATAAAATGCTCAAGATGCAAGTCATTACTGAAGTTTTCAGTGCTTACATAAAAACTGAAAAGCATTAGTTTTATGGAGTAAGAGAGAAACTTGTACAAATATCCAAACAAAGATATTTTAGTGTTTGCTCTCAAAAATCACCAGCGCTTCTAATCAGCACTTCCTTTCTGGCCCAGTCCTTGAACAGCATTGCTTCTGGCACAAACACTGCTCTGGGAGGACTACAGCTTTTGTCCAGGGCATAAATTTAAGGAAGCAGGACTGGTCAGGAACAATACCACATTCCCAACAGGATGTGGGACTCCATGGGCTCTCTCAGTTTACAGCCATATATGGGACAAACACCAGCAGTAACAGCCCTGCACTAGCTCATACAGAAGAAGAATCCTGAATATCTCTGTGCCCTGAAAGAGGACAAAAAAGCTCCAAGTGACAGAGAAAACAGAAAGTAAACTCGGTGGTATTAGTGAGAACTTGCAATCAAAACATGTAAGACACACACGTACAATTGCAACTACCTAAACCTTTTTAAGCTGTCTGAAATTATTTTTAAATATGGAATTTGTCACCCTATTAAATAACCATATCACCTGTAGCAGACAGACTTAGTACCTCTGAATGAAAAACAGGTTTAAGTAATAAGGTTTAATATAGTTTAAAGGGGCTCTCTTGTAGAGGGAGCCACATTAAATAGAGAATTTTTTCTTCCAAATATCTAGCAGCTGAAGTCTAACAAGCACCTCCTAAAACACTTAGTCCTTCATACAGAAGCATTAATCATTAAACTACGTATTTTACCAGTTCTAATGTCTGCCTGGTCTTGCATGAAGTAATTATAGTTATAATAGCTCTTTTGTATTTGAACCTATTCTGCCAGGACTGATTTTTCTCATATGTTTAGTATAATTAATTCATTTCCAAATATACTAGACTAGTTCTTCAGTTTTTTTTAGCTAATAAGCTTATGGCTATGCAATTGTTTTCTTCCGTACTTTCCCCACACTATAAATGCAAGCATCCTACATTTATTTTGCCAAGGAAAACCTCATTATCAAGTTCATATCTGTACTAAGTTCAAAAAGTTTTGTTCTGTAAATGGTAGAATAAGAATAAAAAGTACATCTAAACTCAAAAACATACATCAGAAAAAAACACTTAAACTAAAATAAAAAGAGTTAGAATATTTCTTAAAAGTAAATACAGAGGAGCACAAAGGCAGAAACAATCATTGCACTTGCATGGTTTGGAGTAAACAATACACAACACCACCAGCAGAAACTGGAACACTTCATAATTAGGTTGTATAAACAGATGCAACAACAACACATTTAGGAAAAGCAGTTCACCAAAAGCTTAAATATCTTTCACAGACATGCAGGATCTCAGCACGCTCCCAAAGAATCAAGATAAGCAAACCAATAACACAAAAATCACAGATAGTATCAGACTAACAAAACACTGCCTTGCCTGTGCCAGTTCTTTCGCGTAACTGTTGCTCAAATACAGAGTGCTTAAATCTTCTTATATTTTGCAGCCAGCTAAAGCTGTTTTTCAGAAAGATGAACCTTTCAGTTAGGACCAAGCACAGGCACAGTTGCACTAAAGTCCAAGCTCCCATTCACTTGGGGCAAAAGAAAACATGGTTCAGTTGTGTCTTTAGTCTCTAACATTGAGTTTTCACTTATTTCAATTCTTGAAGTGTTTGTTGGTTCTCTTTAAAGCAACTCTTCCAAACAAGGGGTCCTCAAAAACCAGCAGATAAATGTTTGAAGAGTGTTACTCCCATCAGTAACACAGGGATAAAACACAAGCCAGAGGACTTCCTTGCAAACAGAAACACTGCTGCATGAGCAGGTACCACACAGAGCCCCAATGACAGGTCAAAAGATGAAAAGGCCTCAGTTCGATTCTGCATTAGGTCACAGAGATGGTCACACCACTAGTAGGCTATGGGTTTATTAAAAACCTTGTACCATCCTTGCTCTATCCATAACCACATCAGAAACATTTCTCTTGCACAAGTGGAACTATCAGAATTTGGCACCTACAGAGAGGCAGACACTGCCAGCAGAAGGATAACGAGCTTTTGATTTCTGTTATATAACAGAACTTTAGGGAGAAGTTTCTAGCGTGCCAGCTCAGAAAGCAGATAAAACAGAATTACAGTTCATTGAAATAAAGTTCAGCATAACTTTGAAACCTCAAAAAGCAGAATCTATAAATTCTGCAGCCATTTAAAGAAGAATATTGAGAGAAAAAGAAGAGTTTGCATCAACTTGCTTTGACTCCTCTCATGAAGATACTGTTTTTATCTTTCAGCAAAGATTCCACAAAGATTGTGCCAAATGATAAAGGTCCCAAAGGCACTAAGATCCTGCCGGATTGCGTAAACCTGACCTAATTGTATAAACAGGCAAGCAGAAGTTCCTACACTCTTAGAGAACACAGAAAACTTCACATCCTTCTATTAGCAGCTCTGCTGCCCCCACTACGCCTGCAGATGGAATTAAAGTCCTGGGCTTGAGCAAGGAAGGGGCACATTTAGCAGGGGAATATGGAGAGGGGTTATTACACCCACTCCCCATTGCTCACAGCACAACTGATTTGCACCGCACTGTTTATTTGCTTATTTTAAGGAAGGATATTCACTGTATAACCACAAGACCAGGAAGGCTGGAGGGAATGTTACCCTAACACTACATATAAGCCACGTACTTCATCTCCTTTCTTCTTGATGCTTAAACTGACCACACAGGAAAAAACAGCCCATGCAGCAATCACACCTGCAATATCCTGCTGTGGCTCTTTAGGACCTACCATAAGACAAGGAGATCTTATTTAGCTGTAGATGACATCGATTTACACACTCAGAAAAGCCTGTTGTCTTTTACATATAAATAAACACAACTGTAAGCACGTGGTTTCAAAAGGATGTTCTTACTATTATCCTCACTGTCAAAACAGCAACAGAGAGGGACTGTCACTAAGCTAAAGGTCAAGGTACAGGCTCAAGAAGAAGAAATCTCTCACTGGATATTCTGTCTGTCCAAACAAAGCATTCACTGTGCTTGAAAAATGTATGTTCATGATGCCACATGTGATTTTTCATAAGACTCCACAGACGAAAGTTCACCAAGTTAGGTCGGGGTGTGTGGGGGGAATCTTCAAAGCAGTAGTCAGCAATACCTGGTAAGGCTGCACAGAGCCATTCCTGCAAACTCTCCACTTGTAAATGTTAACAAAGTGCAAAGCACCACACGTAGCACCCTATACACAGGATGGGTCTCTGTCACACAAGAGACTAACAGAGGCATTTGGAGTGTAAACAAATGTATATAGAGAAAAATAGACACCAGAGAACCAAGTGGATGTAGAAAACATTCATGATTTCCACAGAAAGGTATGTTTCCATATCACCAATGAGATAAAGACCTTGTTTAATGACTTCTTTACCCAAAAGAAGACTATTCCTTCAGTTCCCCTCCCTTGGGCACTGCTCTCACAAGGTACCCCACATTCACTCAGGAAAAGTCCAGAAAAACCTCTTTGAATAAGATGCCCCTTCATACAGGCTTGCGCTAAGAAAAACCAGAATATAACAACATTTTGTCACACCCAAGAGTTCTCCACATGGGGATCCTCAAAGCCCGTACAAGAGATTAACCCACCGGGGGCCCAATTGAGCAATTCTGCTGCGCAGGACAGCCTCTCCCCGGGCCCAGGGGGTCACTCAGCAGCGATTCACGCGAGTGGCTGCTGACAGCGCGGCAAACAAACCCGAATTACGAGGCTGTTTTTCACTGGCGACACGCGCCTCTGCACGCTGCGAGGCGGCGGCCGAGCCCGGGGCAGCGACCCCCGCCTCCCGCCGCGGGGCGGCCCCGGCGCGGCCGCAGGGGCGGCGCGGCGCCGCACCTACCGTGTACTCGCGCACTTGGCTGTGGAAGTTCTGCTCGCGGATGGTCACCTCGTCCGCCTCCATCCTTCATAGTCCCGCGGCCCCCGCGCGCGATGGCGGCGGCGGCCGCCGCCGAGCCTGCCCCGGCTCCTGCGCCTGCCCCCGCGGCGGCGGGCGGGCCACCATGGCCGGCGGCGGCGCCGGCTGCTCCCGCGGGCCCTGGCGGCGGCGCTGGCGGCGGCTGCGCCGCTCGGTCACCGGCGGCGCGGGGGAGGAGAGGGGGGGGGGGCGCGGGGAGGGCAGGAGGAAGACCGGGCAGCGCTCGCCCCGCCCCCCTGCGTCACGGCGTAACGGCCGCCCGCCAGGGGGTGTGGCCAGCGAGGGCAGCGCCCCGCCCCCGAGGAGGCGTGGTTAAAGCGCCCCGGGGGCGGGGCTTAGATCCGGGAGGGAGGGGTCGGCGCGGGGAGGGAGGCCCTGAGGGAAAGGCGGGGGGAAGGAGGCGGCCGGCCGGTTTTAACGGAACCGGGGCGATTTGGGCCCGTTTCGGAGAGGCTTCGAGCCTGTGGCCTCGCGGGGAGCGCTCCTCCAGATAGAGGAGGGAGGTGCTGCATCCACCACTTTCCATCGAAAACCAGGATGCCCTTTGCAAGGAGTTCAGTAGTCCAGATGCACAAAACTGCCCATCCAGGACACGCTGTCAGTTCTAGCTGGTGACTTACCAAGCCAAAAACCTGGCTGCTGTCCAAACACGTAAATTTATTTCAAAGAACACTTAAATATGGATAACATCACCTCATGCCTGCTCACCTCTATCGATCCATTAAACACAAACAACTATAACGTTATAATTATTATCTATAATGTTCTAGATGCCAGTTAGAATTCCAGTTACATTTACCTGCCAGCCTCTGATTCTGGAAGTGTGATGTCCCTGTTAGGACTTGATCTGGGTAGGCAAATACAACTGCAGACAAGTTTTATAGATGGAAGTAATATATTTTACTGTAATAAGAAATACAGCTGGAAGAGCTAGACAAGTGTTTGTTAGCAAGATCCTGTCTGCAGAGAAGCCAAATCCTGCCTTTCTGAGTTGTCTGTGGAGATAATGCCGCTAGCTCAAGGACAAAGCCTCTTCTTAAAGTATTACGAGCAGGATGTGAACCGCATTTAAGCCCTAATTGGATTTGTGACAAAGACAAAAGTTGTAGTGCGAACAGAACAGGGACAAGAATTGGGAGAGCAAGAAGGTTACACTCAAAGCATGGGAACGCTCAAAAATTAGGCGAGGAATCACTCATAAAGCCAACACATACCTACAGCAAGAGAAAGGAGGGACATGTTTGGAATTCAGGCCATAGTCATTGGATCTGGGAAACCAGGAGGACCTGCAGAAAGCAGTAGCAGAGCAGCAGTGTGGAGAAACAGACCAAGGAAGTCCTGGTCAGGAGTCAGGAAAAGGAACTAGGTTCAGGACAATCCATAGACTCTTGGGGAGCCTCTGCCAGTAAACACAGATCCCTATTGCCATTTGGTTATGAATCTGGGCTCCAGGTCATATTGAGTTTTTGAGCTACTAGGGAAATGATTCAGCCTCTGCTAAGGAGCAGCTTATTAAATCCGAAACTAAGTTTATTTCTTTAATGAGGCCTGAGATTTGCACTGAGGTGCCAAGGATTTTATACATTTCCACCCTTATGTGCAGACATGCTAAACACACCTCTAAAACAAAAGGTTAAAAGGAGCAGTACTTTTATAACTGCTAGGGAAATAAACTCTAAGACATAGCAGATGTCAGCAGAACTGAATCTTCTTCTTCCACTTGGTCTATGTGTTTCCTTTTTAATATATTGATTTTGAAATACACCTGAGAAGATACAGAAACATAATCAGCTTCATCCTATGGACTAGCAAGTTCTTCCTTTTATTTTTAGCAGGTGAATCATCAGAAACACGATACACATTCCTATTTCTACAAAGACAGAAATCTTTGAGTTTTACAGAAAAAAAAACAGCCATGTTCCTTTCCTGTGCAGAAGTTATTGCTCAGTTCCTTAGGTCTCTATATCAACAAGGAAGGTCACGGCAGCCACCTCAGCAAAATCTATTTATACCTGAGGGTATGCAGTTTAGTGAAGACAGCTGTGGCAAACAAACTGACTGATGACCCTTTGGGCTTGGAAAAGCAGTATTTTGTAGCATACCAAGAGAAAAAAAAATCCAAAATTAGGCCTGAGGTCTGTGCAGAAGGTGCTTAAAAGCCATTTGTCTTTTCTTTCCTCCCTACTTCACACTTGGGGAATAATGAAGATGATGGAATGACTGTTCCCCTCAATTCTTATCCTAAAGGTTCTTGAATGGGATCTTCATTGAAAAGACATGGGAGGTCATGGGGATGTTAAAGCCTTGTACCCAACAGCAAACATGCATATATACATGCAAAGAGAGAGAACCTAACGAAGCAAAGACATCTATTAAACCAAAATTTAGTGCTGCCTAATCCCTTAGTGTAAAAGCTGAGTAGATTTAAAAGACTTTTTTTAATTCATTTTCTTTTTCCAGTAAATACACAGCCTAGTTTTAAAATAACAGTTTTTTAACCTCAGGATAACCCAATATGAATGTCTGGTATTCTGAACTCCCAAGGAAGATTTTATGTGCACTGATTAACTCTGAAAGACATCGGAATAGTCAAGCTACTGAAATTAATTGAATTGGCTAAAATTGAAGCTGCTAAAGTTAGAACTATTTTATTGGGAAGGTTCCCAAAGAATTTGTAATGGATTTTAGATTACCATCTTTAGCTGTAAAAGTAAAGTTGGCACCATGCCCTTTAAATCTAAGGTTATTCAGCATCATTTGAACAGATAATGCTTTTTTTTCAGTCCTTATTCAGCCAAATGCACTTTGGGCTAAACAGAAAATAGGAAGCAGTTCACTTAGTTATTAAAACTACTCCCTGATTACATTTACATCCTGCTTAAGATTTGGCCAGATTGAAGTTTAAAGCCCAAGCTAATAAGTTGCTGAGGGTGACCACTGTTTTTAAAGACAACTAGGTATACAGAGTTGATACCCAGCACTTTACATACTCAAACCCCAGTTATGCAAGACGAGACTGCAAAGTTACATTTTATTTTATACCATGATTGAGCTATTCTACACTATCATTATTATGCACATTAAGATTATATATTGGGCAATCATTTCAAAGGCCCATATTTTGTAGGCCAAAGCACAGCAGTAATTGCATTATAACTTGAGAAAGCCAGATCAATCAATCTTGGTCTGGATTCAACTTGAAATATTGCTGACTGGCATTTAGTTTGTGTTTGTGCCCATCTTCCTTCTTTCTTTTCATTTCTTGTTTTTTTTTTATACAGTTTTTTTTGTTTGTTTCAAGGATACTTCCAACCTGTGTCATTTCTTTGTGTCAACCCAGTAGCAGTAGCTCCCCAGCTAACAGCCATTACTGTACCATAAAATACATAAATTTTTGTATGTATAGATGTATATTTATATGTATAAATGTATAATGTATAAAATACATACATTTCTGAAAGAGCTAAGAGAAAGAAACTTAAATGAGAATGTTGGCACATGAACTGGTTCGGTATGGACATGTTTATGTACAGACCAGACTTTATCCATCAATAGATTCATCAATCTATAATACCCCAAAATAGAGGGAAAAATGCAGCATTGAAGTAAGGTTTCGAACAAGCTTTCAAGAGGAAAAGTAGAATAAAATATCTCCACTGTTTTTAACTTAAAGGTTGGTCTAATTGTTAAAAGGTTAGTTAAGGTGGGATGACTTGTAATGAGGAACTAGATTCAGTGACTAAGAAAATCATTTCTTAAGTGCCTTCTATATGCCTTAAATTTGTAAAATTTACATTTGCTTCATTGGTGGGACGCTAGAGTCGGAAGACTTCCAAGATGGACATTTAGTGTAGAAAAATGGCAATAGCAAATACTCGGCTCAGCTCCCATCTTTGGCCACGGCACATGACTGTGATGCCAGACACACACAGGAGCTGCCAATGCCCAAAGGAAAGGCAGTGCAGGGCTTGCCTGATGCCCAACCTGCTCAGCATTGTGCCATTTCACTAGTGCTTAGTCACGTCCCCAAGAGAAAACAGCTTCAATTGGATGTCTAGCAGGCTCCAAGGGACTGAAAGCTCATGTTGCTTCCATTCCCCTTGGCTGCTGCTTTTGTATTTCATAGTGCGGAATCACAATAGAATAGAATCAACAGTGAGATAAAAGAAAATATTCAAGGACACTTGTATGTGTCTGAGTTTACCTTCTGTACATACACTTCAACCACACTTCTTGAGAAGGTCTTGTCAATATTTTATGCTATGAACAAACCCAGGGACTCTTCCCTGCTTGCTGTCCGTGTCTGTTTTGGTCTTTAGGGAGGTTTTTAAGGGCAGAACTCCTAAATTCCAGCCAGGAACAATACTTTTTACAGACCTGAAAGCCAAAAAGAAAAGGCTCAGGTCAGAGTCTCATCTTCACCCTCCTCTGCCTATTTTGAGCCTAGAAACTAGTGTTTAATTAAAAGTAGCATCTGAAAGGGGTTCAGTTAGAGCAAATGGATCAAGAGAGAGAAAATTCACTACTTCTCTTTGCAGTGTATCAAACATTTAATTGCCACCCGTATTAAAAAGTGCACTTTATTTATGAAAAGAATTTTACTGCCTTCAGCTTCTACCTGCGGTTCTTGTTCTGTCCTTCCCCACTACAATAAAGAACCTTTTAATATTCAGTATTTCCTGGTAATCAGAGCAATTCACCTCAGAACCTTCTTTTCAGTCAGTTAAAAGGATTGATTCTAAGTTCTTTAATGATTTTCTTAACCACAAACACAAGCTTTCCTCTCCTTTCCCTGAATTCTCTCCAAACTTTTAACACAGTTTTTAAAAATGCAAGCAGAAAAAATAAAATGCAGTATTTGAGCAGTTCCAGGGACAGGGGTAAAATTGTCTCTCCATTCTTATTTTATGCTCCCTGTAACAAACCATTTTAGTCATTACCTTGGGAAACACCATCCAGCTTCTGAGAAGCAGGTGAAAAATATGATTCCCACTAGATATACAGTAAAGAAAGCTATTCCAGAAGGAAATGG